CGTCGTATGGTTTGCTGGGCACAGCAGGACTTGGCAGTGACCTTTCCTAACCTAACCCGGGCATTAGCCCCTTGATGAACTGACTGTTGTAACACAAGCTGATATTCAGAGAGGCCGCCAAAGGCACTGTAATGCCACAGTGTTTAGAGGGCTTAATATAGATCCTGAGGCATTCCTAAAATGGAAAACAACAATTCTGCTAAGCTCTCTCATATAAATTTTTGAATGAAGAACTAGAGCTCTTATTAATTCAAGAGATTCCATCACTGGGGCTTTTCCCCCCTCTCTTTTCATATCTAATCAGTCTGCTTGTACCGTGGTGGCACAAGCCAGCACAAAATATACTGTCAGCAGATGGGCAGCCCTGAATGGAGGAGAAAAACCCTGAGCTTTTCACTTCTTGGATGAAAGTATGGGAGCATTATATAAGGAGGAAATGGGAAAAAACTGCAAACTTAAGAAAAGATAAAGTCTGATTAAAATGCAGACTAATATAATTGCAGAACATTACTCAGGCTTTCTTGTGGAGAGAGAAAAATGCCTGCTATTGTGCTGCTGTAGAAACCACGCCGGGGCTGTGGGTAGGTGAGAGTGCATGGAGCATGTCCCTCCCTCTCTCCCCCCTTTCTCTGCCCTGGAATGAAGATCCTATCTTGCTCAGTAAGCTTGGCCTTTGCTGGCCAGGAGAGCTCTCCCAGTACAGAGTTTTCCTGTTTATGTAGTTTCTTTTAATATCCCTGTTCCCTCCCTCTTTTGTTTTGCTTTTGGAAGGTGATGCAGGGCTGTGTTAGAGGAGGTGGTGAACTCCAGTCTTCTCCAGCTTTTCACAGAGGTTGGTTGGCTTGTCTCTGTATGTTGGAAGCGTGGGACATAAGAGCTGTGCCATGAACAGAGTGCTTTAATGTAGCGACTCCTATAAAGCCAAAGAGAGAATTAGTGGTGCTTTGGAAAGTAAATACTTATCTAGAATGAGCAGATGTTGTTCATGTTTCTGAACACTGTGTCCACACCACTCATTTCCCTGAAGACACGTGTTAGAAGTTAATTACCAAAGCACTAGATAACAAAGTAAGGTTCATTCCCTGGCTGTGGATGGAATGTCTTTATGGAAGATTTAAGCTGTATGCAAAATTACCCTCTGACCACTGGCACAAAACAAAGTATAGAAATGTGTCCCTGAGGTGTAGAAGTGTGCATTCACACCGGCTCCAACCCATGACCTCCAAGACAAGACCTTGTCTCTGACAGCAGCTGCTTCTGCATAGCTGAGAGGAAGACATAAGAAATTTTGAATTAAAAAGACTGATGGATGAGAAAGCCTGTCCACATTATGTTAGAGCTCCTTCTGGTCCATAATACTTAAAAGACTTGCTCAAAATTTGAGGAGATTAAGTTACTGCTGCTTATGAATTTTATGCTAGCATGAAGTACTGTAAAAATGCGCTTTCTAATTATTTATAAATGTACAGTCCTTCTTTGTACAGTAATTTTAATTTTTGCCTTAATGCCTTGCTGTAACAATTGATTTGGTGGCTCAGCTACATATTTCACAATAACACATTTTGTAACTTAGTTTTTCCAGAGTTTTATGTTTCAATCTGGATGATTGTGTTGCTTTTGGTGTTCTGAGACAGAGGGTGAAGACACCATTCTCTGGTTATTTTAGCACTTCATAAAAACAGTTTATTGAGGTGTTATGTCATTTTCATTACCCTTTCCCATTTCCCTTTTTCTAGCATACACCTTTAAGTGCTGGAGACTGTTGCTGTATTCATTGTTATATGTTAGGCCTAAATATTTATTTATGGAATGGTGTTAGAACATTCTCTGTACACTTCTATGAGGGATCTCTTGGTCATCCAATCTCATTGCCATGGCAGTCAAGAACATCATGTAATTCCTGTATAAACTCCTCCAGCTCTATTTAAAAGACTGGATTTTGCTCCTACCACTCTTGTTGGATCTGTTCTGACATTTTGCCACTCTGCAGAGTTGAGCTTATATCCACTCATTCTCATGCTGACATTGGCCCTTACTTTCAGCTTTCATGGCTCCCCCATTTCTCACATCCTACTTTGTTTTGCCAGACTAAACACAACAAGTGTTTCTATCCTCCTCCGAAGCAGGCAGTCCAGTCCCAGATTATCATAGTGGGTTTTGTCCATACTTGTTCCACTTGTATTTACTCTTGACTTTCTGACAGAATCGCTGCAGATCTTTACTGAAATTACTTGTCTGACAAAGCTGGGTTTATGTTTCCCTTTTTACATTGCTCCTACTCATCCTGTGATTGGTTAGTCTTTCTTTTCCAAGTTCTGATCTCATAGTCAATGGAAGAAATTTTTTTATTAATCTCTGCACGTCATTAGTATTATAAAATCTAATTATATTTTCATTAATACAGCTCTAAGAGGTATGCAGTTTCTTCAATACATGAATCTCACCCTTCTTTGAATTGGTGATGACTCCCAGCTCTGCCAATGGCAAGTTTCATTAGAATGATTTTGTTTGCAACGACACTAGTATAATAAAAATATGAAGAATGACAGAAGCCTTGATGAATCCCATGGAACAGCTTTTCTCCAGTCTGACACTTGCCCTGTGGAACACCCCTCTGTAGTTGTCTCCTGATCCCCACATTCTTCTACTTGAACAGTCATTTCCTGTCTGGACGGTATTAGCTATTATCGACCCCGAACAGATGACATCTATTGCATTTCCTTTCTTTAAGGAGAAGGGAAACAAAGCTGTATCAGGAGAATATATTATGCTGAAGCAACAGCTCATGTAATGATATACTTAATTTTACCTCATCTGTTCCCATATCTTGAATTATTCTTTCCTTCAAAGTTTGTGCAAATTATTGTAAATTGTTTCCCTCCCTTTCTTTAATGCAACTTCTCCAGAATGATTTGAGTGCGACAGTAAAACTTCTTGCTCCTTCCACCCTCATCTTCATACACTTGGCCTGTCTGCACTCTGGACAAGATCATTTGTTTTTCCTCACTGTAGTAATTATCCACTACTTTCTTCCCATTACTCATCCTCTCTCTGCTCCCATCTTTCACATAATCTTTATTAAAAAGGAGGCAAAATGCTTGTTGGTTTTGGAAATATTGACAGACTTCCTTAATCTGTATGCCCCTCTCACTGCATGCAGCCTTGTTTCTTTCTCCCTGGTGGAAATAACTGCTTCTAGCTGCCATTATTTATCTTCTGCATGTCCTCATCTTGAAGACAAAACTTTCTTAGGAGAGTGATCCTCCTCACTGTTACCTGTAGGTTTTCTGCTTCCACTGACCTTAGATACTGAGCTGCCAGGAGATCTTCTGTGGAGCCCTTCCCCTTTCTGATTCTCTGGCATAAAGAAATCCAGTCTTTCCTTTGTATTCAAGTCCTTGAGTCCTTCAGCTTTGTTGATTATTTCTTTTTTCTTTCTAATTAGGTCTCTTTCTCTGTCGATTTAGAATGCCCTTTTAAAAAACTATGGTTTACCCATCTATTTATTTTAAACTGCATTTACAAAACCATTTTTTCCCTCTATGACTGTAGCAGTCTGGCAACACGCTCACCACCATCACCTCTTGTTGGCGTGGTGGCTGGCACAGAGTTGTTCCTCCACTGTACCTAGCACTGCTCAGCTCCAGGCATTGCTCAGAGCCTCTGCATTCACCTTTACCTCTGGGAAGGATAGCAGCAGCTACTGTGGGAGCAGCAATTTGTTTCATTCTCTTCCAGATACTTTTCCGCATGCAAACACAGGTGGGTAACCCACAGAAAGCTCTGCACAAATGTGTTTGCTGTGATGGCTTTGGCCAACATCACCTTCAAGCTCTCAGTTCTACCCTGACTCTCTTTTAACACTTTCCCTGCTTGGTTTTGAGGCAAACACTTCGGGTCTATTCCTTCTTTTTGTGCAATTAGCATTCAGTTCTACTCAGTGGCCTCTACCGTGAGGTTTGTCTTCCCTGAATACAGAAGTGTGGCATCATGCTGCTCTGTCACGTCTCTCCTGGAAAGCTTTGTCTATGCATGGGCAGGTTTTATCCCTTCGTTTTGCTTGTCAGGCTCCTTCCTTACGCCGGGAAGCGTCTGGGGGGCTTTGCACTGGCCACCCCCTGCTTCCAGGCCGGTACAGTCCCCTGCTTCCCACCCGCTTCTCATTTATGCTTCTCCTCCCTTGCCACCATCTCCTGCCGTTTCTTTAGGTGCTGCCATCCACATTTTACTTGATTTCCCCCCCATTTCTGTGCATTACAACCGAGCGGGGAGGGCACGCAGCCTCACCCCTGGCGTTCAATTATTTTCTTTGCAGTTGCCGCGATTGCGATTTCTGCCTGGGATGTCAAAGTGCCTGTCCGGGGCAGAGCAGGGAAGGAAGGGAAAGCTCCGAGGGGGGGGATGTGGCAGCGCGGGGCGCTGGCTGGGTGGGCGCCCACCGACCGGCCCCGGCCCCGGCCC